TGTTTTTGTTCTTAGAACATTTTTGGGTTCTAAGAACATTTCGTGGTAAGGCTATAGGAATGCCGGGACGGTCGGTCCCTGCTCAAGTGGAGGCCCATGCCAAGAAGCGCCCTGGTTGCCTCCAGGGTGCCCTAGGTTTCTCGGATTTCGATGGTTCTGCAATGGGAGGTGTGACGTTCCCACGCCAAAAATCCACGGATGTCCTAGGGTCTCAGGGGTTGGGTTTCTTGTGGAAGGTTTCTTGTGGATCGGCCCCCATTATGCAGACTTGATGTACCCCAGAAGTGATTTGTCCCATCGGATATACGACGAATGCGTAGAGCTGTCGTAGGTTAGCGTAGACCCGCCGTAGATGGTTCGTAGGATCGAGGGGAGGTTCAATTCTGGGGCAAGAACTCGGCAGTCGATCTCCCCCTCGAGCTCTGGCGGCAGGAGAGGGGGGTGTGGCAGAAAGGGGTGTAGTGCCAATCGTGAACATCGACGATGGGTAGCATCGCCAGATTCAGCAGTGGCACCACACCCTTTTACCTTGGCATCGCTCAGACGTGTGCATTTTCTCGGCGAGAGCCATCGAGGACCATCCTGGACCATCGGGAAATGGACGCCCGAGCGACGGCAGGTTACACCACACCCCTTCTTACCTCCAGACTGGCGCCCCAACCCGGACGAGCGCTCCGCTGCGCCTCCTTGGCGTCGCCCCCGGGCGTGCCCTGCGCTCCGGGGGAGGGGCCCCCGGCGCCGACCCGAGACATCTGCGTGGACCTCCAGAAGTGCATGCCCCCTCCTCCCCCTCCTCCTCTCCTCCTCCTCCTCCTCCTCCTCCTCCTCCTCCTCCCCTCCTCCTCCTCCCCCTCCTCCCCCTCCTCCCCCTCCTCCTCCTCCTCCTCCTCCTCCTCCTCCTCCTCCTCCTCCTTGTCCGATGTCGGTTCTCACCGGCCCGCTCCGAGGCGGCTCCGATGTTCCGACGATGCGAGGCGGCCCCGTGCTTGCACGGCGCTGTGGTGCCTCCCGGCGCAGCCGATCCAATTCTGCAGCGCGACCCGACGCACATCGGGCGGGGCGAGGGCCAGGACAATTCCGCATAGATCCGCTCCAGAGCGTTCTGGGACGCTCTGAGAAGGCCGCGACGCCCGAGACAGCCTCCACAGCCGCCGCATCTCAGAGACTCTATACATATATATATATATATATATATATATATATATGTATGCGCAGCCACCCCCCCCAGCACCCACGAATTTCACATCAATCGTTGGGGCGCCCATTCGCATTTTCACTGATCGATCCTCCGTTGAGCATCTGTCTTCAGTCGTCTCCCTCCTCTTCCTCTTCCTGCTGTCAGCCCCCTGCAGTTCTTGGCTTTCTTCGCTATCACTCCACCCATCGTCCTCCCTATGTTGACTCATCTCTCTTCCTCGGCTTCTGCCTGATTCCTTCGATTCCCCCCCCCAGTCTTCCTCATTGACAGGGCTCCTTTTGAAATCGGTTACAAAAGGAATCGTATCGAAATCGGCTACAAAAGGAATCCGATTGAGATCGACTACAAAGGGAATATCATTCAAAACCCTTACAAAAGAATTCTTATTGAAATCGTTTCCAAAAGGGGCACGATTGAAATCAGCTACAAAAGGACTCCTGTTTCAATCCTTACAACAAGAATCCTATTGGAATCGGCTACATAATGTATCCTATTGGAATCGGCTACAAAAGGACTCCGATTGAAATCCTCCACAAAAGGAACCCTATTGAAATCGGCTACAAGAGGAATCCTTTTGGAAATCGGTTGCACAAGGAATCCGATTGAAATCCTCAGCAAAAGGAATCCTATTGAAGTCGGCTACAAAAGGAATCCTATTGAAATTGGCTACAAAGGGAATCGTAGTGAAATAGGCTATACAAGGAATTCTTACTGAAATCCTTCACAAAGGGAATCCTATGGAAATCGGCTACAAAAGAAGTCCTTTTGAAATTCCCAACAAAGGGATCCCATTGACATCGGCTACAAACGGAGTCTTAGTGAAATCCGATGCAAAAGGAATCCCATTGAAATCGGCTGCGAAAGCAATCAATTGAAATTATCAAAAAAAGGTAAGGTGGAAGAGGAGGAGGAGTAGGACAGACATGAGGAGGAGGAGGTGGAAGAGGATTCAGAGAAGAAAAGGGAAGAGGAGAATCCGAGACGCCCAACGCAATCCCTGTGAAAACGCAGGGCTCGCGACACCACAGGTACGGAAACCCTGTGTGTTCATATTGTTTGTTTTTGTTTTCTGGGATGCAAATCAAGAAAACAGTATGTCTGCATGTGTTTGTTTTTGATGTTTTGATTCTTCACCCTCCAGACAAAATCAATCCAGGAGCCGAAGTTTCAGAACCTGGGAAATCCCAAACATCAAAATGAAAACACAGGGTTTGGCGACCCCTGACGTCGCAAACCTTGTGTTTTCATTTGGATGTTTAGGATATTTGAGATTTCTCAGACTCTGAAGCTTCGGAGGCTCTTGGATTGTGTCTGGAAGGTGAACATCCTCAAAATCCGAAAGATCCAAATGAAAACACAAGGTTTCCTTAATTCTCATGCTAAAATCTTAAACATCCAAATGGAAACACAAGGTTTGGCGGCCCCTGACGTCGCAAATCGTGCGATTCCACAGGGATCGCTGCTCCCTCACCCTCCATGTGAAGCTTCGGAGGCTCCTGGATTGTGTCTGGACGGTGAAAATCATTTTTTTCGGAAGCAAATCTGAATGAAAACACAGGGTTTCCTTAATTCACATGCCAGAAATCCCAAACATCCATGTGAAAACACATGGTTTGGCGGCCCCTGACGTCGCAAACCTCGTGATTCCAAAGGGATCGCTGCTCCCTCACCATCCATCACTTCCCCCTCTCCTCCCCGAGTGCGCATGCTGGTGGGTAGGACCTTCAGGCCGAGTTCCTCCTTTGCGGAGGACGGCGTTCTTTCGCAGCCCACAGTGCCTTCTGGCAGATCGCGCGCCACGCCACTTTCGGAGTTGAGAAAAACCGCCGATGCTTTAGGGGAAAGAAGGGAGGAGAGAGAGAGAATGAGAGAGAGAGAGTCGAGGAAGAGGATGAGGAAGCGAAAGCTGGTGAGAGTGGGTGCTGGGGGGGTGTCCATATATATATATATATACATACACATATACATATACCTATACATACGCAGTTACATATCTATATATATAGATATACACATACATACAGTCATACATACATTTGTATGCTTCAGCGCATCTCGACTCCATCCGATCCCCCCGCCAGCGCCCCGGCTGTTCGGCTCTGGCGCCACAGTCCACCCGCGTAGTAAGGATGGGCAACCTCCCCGAGGTTACCCTGGCACCCTTGCCTCCTCGGCCCATCCTTTGGCCGCGCCCCGCCCGAAGAGTCTCGAAGTGGGCCTGCGCGAGGCCACTGCATCCTCGTCGCGCATCCTTGCGACACGGGCCGACGGCGCTGGCCATCCTCAAGTCGGGCCCGCCCCTCTACAGGAGGAAAATTCAAAAATAGTTTCAAAAAATAGTCTGGGGGCGATTTTCTTCCGTATGTTTGAGAATTGTTGAATAGGTTTCCTATTTTCATTGTTTCTTCGAAAATCCCCCTTGAGGGGGACAGGCCCGACTTAATTCGTGTGACACGGGCCGACGGCGCTGGCCAATGCGTCCCCGCCGATCCATGCGCCCCCGCCAAGGCCGCGGCGGCGGGACGCCCCGCCGCGGCCCGCAAGGCACCGCCCCCGGAGAGGCTGCTCTGGGGCGGGGCGGCCGCGGAGCCGTCGGCGCCCTCGGCGGCCGAGGCCTCCGCACCCGCGCGCGCCGCGCGCGGGTCGCCGTCGTCGTCGCCGCCGCCGCCGCCGTCGTCGTCGTCGCCGCCGCCGCCGCCGCCGTCGCCGTCGTCGTCGCCGTCGCCGTTGCGTGAAGTCGGGCGTGTCCTGCAGGAGGAATATTCATATAGTATAAAAACATCGGGGACGATGATTCGAGTATGTTTCGGCATTTTGGGGGTCTTGTATGACTATTCTTCAATTTTTCGTCCAAAACCCACCTGTCGGGGGACATGCCCGACCTAACCGTTGCCGCCGCCGTCGCCGTCAGAGGTCGGAAGCCAGGGCGAGGTGCGGGCGGAAATGAAGGTGCACAGGTCCAACTCGGAGTGCGTGACGGAGGCCGCGGGGTGGACGAGGGAAGGCAACGAAGAGGCGGATTACTACGCCAAGGAGGGTGCGGCTGCTTGGGGCTGTTGGCCCGAACACGGGCTGGCGGCTGAAGGCGCCCACCCCCTGGCGCCCAGCCCGTGCTTTTCGGGAGCAAGGAAGAGAGGCGACACCACCGCTGCCAGCGCGAGGTGCCAGGGAGGGTCCTGATGGAGGTTGTCGGGCGGGGCCAGGACGAGGACTGCGCCTCGAGGTCCCAGGCGAGGTCCAAAACAAAAGCCAAGACGAGGACAGATGCGTTCCAGCGCGTTCCCGAACGCTCCCCGAGCGTTCGAGAACGCTCCGCGATGGCCGCGGCGCCCGGCACGTCCATCAGAGCCGTTAGATGTTTGGGATGGCCGATGTATCCCCCTCCGACGTTTTCATCTTGGCTTCGTCTGAAGCTGCGCGCCCCCGCCGCCAGCGCAATGCCCCTTTCCCGGTGCATTGCGCGGAGCGGATCCGAGGCAAGGTTGTGCAGTTTTGGCGGACTCGGTCGTCTTCCCGGGTACAGTCAGCCCGCATAGTAAGGATGGGCGACCTTCCCAAGGGTACCCTTGCATCCTTGCCTCCTCGGTCCATCCTTCGCCGCTATCGCTGGCCGCGTCCCGCTCGAAGAGCTTCGACATGGGCGCCCAAGGCCCCTGCATCCTTCTCGCGCATCCTTGCGATAATGGTTGACTGCAGGAGCTTTTTCCTGTGACTCTTCCCCCCTGCCTCTGGGGGGGGGGCGGAGGGCGCGCGCGCCCCCTCCGCCGAGGCCGCGCCGCCGCCCGCGGCGGAGGCGCCCGCGGCGGCGCCGCCCGCGGCCGCGCCGCCGCCCGCGGGGCCCGCGAGCGAGGCTCGGCCCTCGGCTCGGCCGGCGGCCGGCGGCCGGCGCGCCGCGGGGCGCCCGCGGCGGGGCTCGGCACCCGCGGGGCTCAGTCAGAAGGGGAACAGAGAGTAACACAAACATAGAAATAGTCCCCTGATTATTTGTTGATTATGTTTGAAGTATTTTTGGGGTACTTCTTATTTTTCGTCGAATCCCCCTGTAGGGGACAGGCCCGACTTAACCCCAGCAGGATGAACAGCACGGCTGGAAGAGCCCACCCGATGCACCACCTGCGCCCAGAGGGCTGGTGAAATAGGGGAACAGAGAGTGACACAAGCATAAAATCTCGGAGGTCCGCGCGGATTTCTCGGATCGGCGCTGGACCCCCCTCCGTGGCGCGCGGAGCGCGCCAGGGGCGGCGCCGGAGGCGCCGCGGGGGAGGCCCCAGCGCCGATCCGAGAAATCCGCGCGGACCTCCGAGATTTGATGCTTGTGTCACGTTGTGTTCCCCTAAGTCAGAGCTCACCGGGCGCGCTCCACTGCTCGCAGAGACCCGGCGGACCCGCCAGCGTCGGGCGGCCACGCCCAGGAGGAGGATCGACCGCCAGCGGCTGGCCGCACGCGGCGGCAGGCCACCGAGGAATGCTGAAGAAGCAGCAGCGGATCCTGAAGCACACGTCACGGACACGTGGCATGTAGAGCTCCTCTTCGCAAAAGGTCAACAAAAAAAACGAGCGTCTGCCTCGACGTCATGGATCGCAGCTCCCCCTCGGCGGATCCGGGCCACGTGCCGGCAGTTGCATTGCGAGCAGTGGAGCGCGCCTGCTCGAGAACGCCGCACCCTGCCGGACCTGCGAAGCCAGAGCTTGGCTGAGACGGACTCGGGAGCCTCTCGCGGCCCTGGAGGTGCCCTGATTCGGAGGGCCCCAAGTATGCAACTGCACCGATCCTGGCCAGGCCGATCCCAGGCCCGGGATCGGTGCATACGCATTCTGCCCAGAGCAGGAGGGCGCACACACCGGTCCTGGGCCCAGGGTGATCCTGGCCAGCATCGGTGCTGGTGTACAGTTAGTCGGTGCCCTCCTGGTTATACAAAGTGCATTTTGGCTGACCGGGGGCCTACGAAACCCACACACACACATACACACACACACATACACACTCACACACAACAACAACAACAACAACAACAACAACAACAACAACAACAACAACAACAACAACAACAACAACAATAACAACAACAACAACAACACCAACAACAACAACAACAACAGCAGCAGCAGCAGCAACAACAACAACAGCAACAACAACAACAGTAACAGCAACAGCAACAGCAAGAGCAACAGCAACAGCAACAATTACTCGACACGGGGCTCCCCATATGTGCATCTCATTGTGGTGGTAACTCCTGAGTGTGATGGGGCAGGATGAGAAAGAAAGAGAGAGAGAGAGGGGGAGAGGAGAAGGAGAAGGAAAGAGCATAAGTTTGGTCAAAATATGAGGAAGCAGGAGAGGGAAGATCATATCCGCATCATTCTCTTAGTTCCCTCCTGAAATGAAGGCCGCGGGCGCTGGCAATCTGGCCGAAGCAATCTGGTCGAAGCAATCTGGAAAACATGTGTCAGCACTTGGCATCGTGCGGGTCGGCAGCTCGCGCTTGCTCACGCAACGAAAAGAACCAACAACAACAACAACGAGCACTGAGCAATCGGATCGAGACACCTCTTACAGGACCGTCCGCACTTGGCTTTGGGTCTCAGTGGGCTACAGCAGCTATTTCTCTTCCGGCAGGGCCATCCCGACCCAGGAGAGTGCAGGGGGCGGGGCCGTCCGCACTGGGCATCAGGCCGTGATGGTGGCGCAGGTGATGGTTGCGTTGGTCGTGGTTGTGCTGGTTGTGGCACCATATTGCAATGGCGCTTGTGCTGTTGATGATTGTGCTGTTGGTGGTTGTGCTGGTGGTGGTTGTGATGCAAATGGTTGCGATCGTGTCCTGGTGACGGTCGTGCTGGTGGTGGTCGTGCTGGTGGTGGTTGTGCAGGTGGCGATTGTACTGGTGGTGGTACCATATTGCGCCGTCGCTTGTGCTGTTGGTGGTTGTGTTGTTGGTGGTTGTGCTGTTGGTGGTACCATATTGCGATGACGGTTGTGCTGTTGGTCATTGTGTTGTTGGCGGTTGTGCCGGTGGTGGTTGTGGAGATCGTGTTGGTGGTCGTGTTGATGGTGGTCGTGACCCCAAGCTCCGACGCCAAGCGTCGTGCTAACCCTTCCCCCCCTCCTATGGGCGCCGTCCTCCAGGTAGATGTACACGATGGTCCTGCTCCTGCCCTGATCCGTCGTCGTCGTCGTCCTCGTCGTCCTCGTCGTCATCGTCGTCGTCGTCGTTGTCATCGTCTTGTCGCCGTCGTTGTCGTGGTCGTCGTCGTTGTCGTCGTCGTCGTCGTGGTCGTGGTCGTGGTCGTCGTCGTCTTCCTCTTCCTCCTCCTGCTCCTCCTCTTCCTCCTCCTCCTCCTCCGCCTGCTCCTCCTCCTCCTCCTCCTGCTACTCCTACTCCTCCCCTGCCTCGTCCTCCTCCTCCTCCTCCTCCTCCTCATCCTCCTCCCCCTCCTCCTGGCCCCCCTCCTCCTCCTCATCCTCCTCCTCATGCTGAAGCAGAGCAGTATCAGAACGACACTGCTCTGCTTAAGAAATACTTACGATACGTGTCTCATGCCCTTGGAGAGTGGCCTGCGATTGCCCCTCGTCGGAACAAGGCGCTGGCCAAGCCCGTCAAGAGCCTCTCCCCTCCCTCGGGGGCTGCCTCGGCCTTGGCCTCCTGGGACCCTCCCTCGCCCCCTCCCCCTCCGCCGCCTGGGCCCCCTCGGAGGGTTCGTCCTGCGAACCCGTCCCCGAGGGCCCATGTCTGGGCTCATGTGAATGGCCAGCGCCGATGCACGATCTGCCGCATCCGCGTCCGCACATTCAAAGCATTGGAGGAGCGATGCAGAGCAATGGATTGCCCTGGACACTGCCCGCAGATGTCCAGTCTAGCCTCCAACCCTAGGGGGCATACTTTGTTTTATTATGAGCACCTCGAGCAGCCTACGAGTTTCTTGGTGTGCCATAAGTGTGGTTCTTTCAAGGAGGGCAATTCGCGTGGACTTTCAGGCAATTGCAATTTGAGGCCGCCCCACAACGGGGCAAAGCTGCAGCTGCAGAGAGCACAGTCTGGCCGTCACCCGAAGAGTGCCGCCGCCAGCCCGATCGTGCTCAGCCTCCCTCCTGTCCCCCTGGCGCAGCTGCTCAGAGAAGCAGCCCAAGCCAGGCAGGAGGCCGCCACTCCGCCCTAGTGGACAGGTGGCCCGAACTCATCCCCCCCTACTGCGCGCTGGTCCTCCTCCTCCTCCTCCTCCTCCTCCTCCTCCTCCTCCTCCTCCTCCTCCTCCTCATCCGCCGGAGGATGAAGGAAAGAGGAAGAGAGAAGACTTGCCGTCCTCCTGCCTCCCCTGCCTCCTCCTCCTAATCCTGCTGCTCCTCCTCGTTCTCCTCCTCCTCCTCCTCCTCCTCCTCCTCCTCCTCCTCCTCCTCCTCCTCCTCCTCCTCCCTCCTCCTGGTCCTCCTCCTCTCTCCTCCTCCTCCTCCTCCTCCTCCTCCTCCTCCTCCTGGTCCTCCTCCTCCTCCTCCTCCCTCCTCCTCCTCCTCCTCCTCCTCCTCCTCCTCCTGCTCCCCTTCTTCCTCCTCCTACACCCCCCCCCAGCCACCTGGCTCCGCCTCCTCCTTCTCCTACTCCTCCTCATCCGTCGGAGGATGAAGGGAAGAGGAAGAGAGAAGACTTGCCGTCCTCCTGCCTCCCCTCCTCCTCCTCCTCCTCCTCCTCCTCCTCCTCCTCCTCCTCCTCTCCTCCTCCTCCTCCTCCTCCTAGTCCTGCTCCTCCTCCTCCTCCTCATCCTCCTCCTCCTGGTCCTGATCCTCCTCCTCCTCATCCTCCTCCTGGTCCTCCTCCTCCTCCTCCTCCTCCTCCTCCTGCCTCCTCCTCCTCCAAATATGCTCCGAAAGCGAAACATGTTGGAGGAGAAAAAGGCAAAACCGCCTGAGACGTTCCCACAAAAATCCGCGGAAGGGGCCGAGGGAAATACCCCCCCGCCGCCCCCCTTACGTGCTGAAACCAGCGAATCGCCTGGGACATCCTGGCAAACTGCTCCGAAGGCGAAACATATTGGAAGAGAAAATGGCCACACCGCCTGAGACATCCCCACAACAATCCGCGAAAGGGGACGAGGGAAATACTCCCCCGCCGCTCCCCTTAGGAGTGCTGAAGCCACATAATCGCCTGACACATCCTCAACATCAGTGTGTGTGAGTCATCCGATGAGTGGACCTGGGTGAGTGTGGTGAATGTATGAGTACAAGTACGAGTGAGTCTGAGTGATAAGTGAGTCTGAGTGACGAGTGAGTCTGAGTGATGAGTGAGTCTGAGTGATGAGTGATGAGTCTGAGTCATGACTGTGTCCGAGTGGTGAGTGAGTCTGAGTGATGAGTGAGTCTGAGTGATGAGTGGGTCTAAGTGATGAGTGAGTCTGAGTGACTGACTGAGTCTGAGTGATGAGGGAGTCTGAGTGATGACTGAGTCTGAGTGGGTCTGAGTGAGAGGAGGTGAGGCGGGGTTCTGTTCTCTCTTTGTTCCTTCGGCGCGGTCCGCCAATAACAAGAACCCCATCTCTTTGGATATGGGGAACAACAACAACAACAAGAACACACAACACACAACACACAACACACAACACACAACACACAACACACAACACACAACACACAACACACAACACACAACACCAATAACAACCACAACCACAACCACAACCACAACAACAACAAAAACAACAACAACAACAACACCAGCAACAACAACACCAACAACACCAACAACAACAATAACAACAACAACGACAACAACAACAACAATAATAACAACAACAACAACATGAACAGCAAAAATGCAGCGCGGTTTTCCGACGTTGGCTGAGCTCTGTTCGCGCCGAGAGCCC